TTATCTCTATACACGTGAATCTATTTCAGGGTTCTCTATTCTGCTCCACTGATCTAGATGTCTACCTTTATGCCAATACCTTGTGCTGTCTTGAGTACTGCACAGTTTTAGAATACTGCAGTTTTAGAGTACTGCAGTTTTAGAATAAGCTTTGAAAGCAGGGAGTGTTGGTCCTCAACTTTGGTCTTCTTTTAAAATTGTTTTGGCTCCACTAAAAAAAAAAAGTGGGGAGGGGGTGCCTCGATGGCTCAGTCAGTTTAGCGTCCGACTTCAGTTCAGGTCATGTTCTCACGGTTTATGGGTTTGAGCCCCACGTCGGGCTCTGTGCTGACAGCTCAGAGCCTGGAGCCTGCTTCTGATTCTATGTGTTCCTCTGTCTCTCTCTCTGCCCCTCTACCACTCATGCTCTGTCTCTCTCAAAAATAAATAAACATTTAAAAATAAATAAATAATAAATAAAATCGCTTTGGTTCTTTTAGGTTCTTTGCATTTTTGCTTGTCAATTTCTACAAAAAAGCTTGCTGAACTTTTGATTGGCATTGAATCTGTACATTTAGCAAGCACTGAGATTTTGACAATAATAGTGTCTTCTAACCCCCAAATACAGCATGTCTTCCTTTATTTATGCCTCCTTTCTCTCACAAATGTTTTGCAATGTACACAACTTGTACAGTGCACGAGTCTTTCACATCTTTTGCCCTATTCACCCATAAGCACTTAATAGATTTTGAAGCTAATATAAATAACATTATCTTTTAAATTTCAATTGCACTGCCTATTGCTAATATATACAACTGACTTGTGAATACCGATCTCAAACCCTGAAGCCCTGATAAAACTTACTTATTAATTCTACTAGTTTTTCTGAGGATACCACAGGGTCTTCTACATAGATGCTCATGTCATCTGTGAATAAAGACAGTATTATTTACTCCTCTCTACATCTAGAGGCATTTTGCTTCTTTTTCTTGCCATATTACACTGGTTAGAACCTCTGGTACAATAATGAATAAAAGTGGAGAGAGCAGACATGCTAAAAACCAACCTAATCCTCCTGTCTCCATTAAAGAAAAATATTCAGTAGCTACTGGGTGAACAAAATATAAATGGATTATGAGATGTGGGGAAATAGTCAAGTGATATCTTTAAGTGCTACAGAAAGAAAAAAATTAGCCACCCACTAAGCATAACAAAATAGTAGGAATGTTGATATAACAGATGTTATCTGATAAGACTACTTAATCAGAACTTTACTGAACGAAGAGCAGGAAAAGCCTTTCATTTAATTGATTGTTCCAACACTGTACTTTTCTCTTTCTTTCTCTTTCTTTCTTTCTTTCTTTCTTTCTTTCTTTCTTTCTTTCTTTTTCTTTCCTTCCTTCCTTCCTTCCTTCCTTCCTTCCTTCCCTCCCTCCCTCCCTCCCTTCCTTCCTTCCTTCCTTCCTTTAAGCCTGGCCAAACAGCATTCTCATAAGCACTTAATTAGCACTTACTATGCTATTCCAACACTGAGGAAACCAAAAAAAATTTTGCAATTTTTAAAAGGATTACTTAAAATATTTCATGCAAATTTTTAAATGTTTCTTTTTTGAGAGACAGAGCATAAGTGGGGGAGGGGCAGAGAGAGAGAGACAGAGAGGGAGAGAGAGAGAGAGAGAGAGAAGGAGACACAGAATCTGAAGTAGGCTCCAGGTTCTGAGTGTCAGCACACAGCCTCACGCAGGGCTTGAACTCATGAACTGAACCATGAGATCATGACCCGAGCCAAAGTCGGATGCTTTACCGACTGAGCCACCCAGATGCTCCTTACATGCAAATTTTAAGATGAGAAATTCAACAATTCTGTAAACAATCAGAAAGCGAAAAGTGAAAAACATTCTCTCAATGAAGTCTTCACTCATCTCTTACTATGAAGGGTAATGAGGACTTTTCACTACTTATCTTACTTAATTTCTCCACAGTGCTTTAAAATAATGACTACTTCTACCGTCTTTGACGCTTTTCCTGTCCACTGGCTCCCACAACATTAGTCAATCTTGGCTCTCTGGAAGATCTTCACATTACTGCTCCTTGGTCGCCCTCCTTGATCCCAGGGCTCTGTCAACTTTAGCTGTCTTCTTTGTGATTTTATTCATTAGCATATTTAAAGAGTTAAAGCACTATTTGCTTGATGGAGACTCTCAGATTTATATCCTAGTCCATGATCCCCTTTATCTGATGACGGCTAGAAGTCATGAATGACACAGTCCTTTCATTTACTAAATAAATAAATCCTGGGTTTTATGCTGAACTAAGTCCTCTTTTCTCCAAACCCCAATGATATAGTCAGATTTTTTTTTTTTTTTTCCTTGCCTGGGCCTGAGTTTGGCCAACTTTTGCAAAGGACTCCACTGTAAATATTTTAGGCTTCCATTAACATTCTAAGAAAGTATCATTAGGCAGGCCTGAAGGAACAGTGGTGTGCTCTACTGGAGGCAGGACAGTATGGATATGGACTAGGAGGTAGCTGTGTCCTTTCAGATACAAGATGGTGGCGGGACGAGCTCACGTAGAGGCAGTGGGACTAATGGCACAGGCATGGATTTGGACAGTAGTGAGCACACAGAACTGATGTAATAGGATGTTTCCCTGGCTCCTGGCTTGGGCACCTGAAGGGCAGTGGTCCCACTGACTAGGACAGGAAATATAAATAGCAGTTTGGGAGTGAGTAGGGGAACACAGGAGTTATTCTGTTTCTCAAATGTTGAGCTTCAGGGGCCTGTAAGACATCTAAATGAAGATACTTAATCAACAGTTCAACATTCACGTCTAAGCACAGGAATGACGACGAGGAGGAGGACGATGGCGATGATGATGATAGTGGTTAACATTTCCTGAGCGTTTATTATAGGTCAGGTAAAATTTTAAGCATTTTGCAGGTATTAACTAATGTTATCCTTCCAATAACCCTACAAGGTGAGCACTGTTATTATTATCTCCGTTTTATACAAGATGAAATTAAAGCACAGAGGTTCCATTATTTGCCTGAGATGATAAACTGGTAGTTGGCAGAGCTGGGATTAGAACCTGAGTCTTGGATTATGCTTTAAACATTGGGCTCTACTGCCTCCCCTGACATGTATGTATTTGGGAACCGCATATATATATTTGAGGGTTGCCGAAGACACAGGAATGAAACAAGGTACAGAATGAAAGAAAAGGATGAGGGTTTGGGAACACTGACATTCCAAGGATAAGCAGGAGCAGAGACAGGGGACAGCATAGGAGACCGAGAAGGAGCAGCTCGAAGTGCGAGAAAACTCAGCAAGGTTACATTTCAAGGGAGCCAAGACAAAGTGTTTCAAGGAAGAAGGGACCGGCTGGGATTAAGGCTGCAGGGAAAACAGGTAGGACGCAGATGACCAGTGATTTTGCTGTGAGTCGCTTTAGTTGCCACAGTGGCATCTGAATGAGACTGGAGTAAATTAAGGTGGATAAAAAATGGAGACAGTGAGTGCAGAACGTAGGTCACACTAAAAAATTTTGGTTGTAAAGGGGAGGAAATAGAAGTGGAGGCTTTAGCGTGTTTAAAAGTTGATGAGTTAGATCCAGAAAAATGGGAGGAGAAAGACAAAGACAAAAACTGCTGAAGAGAATTCCTGAGGAGACAGAAATGTGTTGTGTAGTTGATGAGTGGAGGCTCTCCAATTAAAATGTCTAGATCCAAATCCAAACTCCACTACTTACTAGGTGCTTACCTCAGAAAAGTTACTTACTCTCTCAAAGCATCAATTTCCTTGCCTGTAAAGTGGGCATAAACTACTATCTACTTCATAGACACAAGACTTTAACAAGATAATGCCTGGGAAGAGCTGGCACACAGGAAGCGCTTAGAAAACATCAGCTCTTATTACTAGGGGATCCAGACCACCAGGTAGAAGGTCTGCCCTTCATTAAGAAGAAACACATTTTTTTGTGACAGAAAAGGAGCTAATGATAGGAACAGATGTCAGGTAAGCTTGGGGTGGGAGGGAGAGGACAGAAAGCTTTTTACTGATGCTTTTGATGTTCTTGGTCAAGAATAAGGCAGGGCCAACTGCTGGAATGAGGGGCTGCTTGAGGAGAATGTGTCCTTCCTGGGACATACCGTCTAGTGAAATACCAGGGGGGCCTTAGCAGTGAAAGCTCCGTGTCTGCTTAGAAGCCCCCAGTCACATGGCTCTAAGATTTCTCCATCTGTGTTCAGCAACCCAGATACGAGAGTGAAGAAAGCAGAGTGGTGAAATGTCTCACGACCAGGTTTTGATGAGCAAGTGTGATGAACGATATTGTAGGCATTAACAGCAGTGACTGAAGTGACAGGGCAAGGGTTTCAGGCTGCACAGGGAAGAAAATAAAGACCAAAAAAAAAAAAAAAAGATGATATTTTTAGAAAAAGTAAAAGAACCAAGGGAGTGTATGTGTTGATGAAGTCAAAATGCAGGACTAGATATTAGAGATACTAGGGATGTGACTGTGAACAAGACAGCTGTAATCTAGCTCTCACACATCCTGCAGGCTAGCATAAAGTAGAAAATTAAACAATTAATTGGAATTAAAAATTAAAATCTTAAGGGGGAGTATAATGCAGGAGTACCTACTCATTGGCAGAACGGGTCGGGGAAGGCTTTCTATGGAAAGTAACTACTGAGCAGAGGGGCAAACAGAAGTTAGCACGAGCAGAGGAAGGAAAGTGCATTCCGTATCAAGAGCGTGAGCGAAGTCCAATGAACACAGAGCATGAAGAGGCAAGCAAGAACTGAGAGGCGGACAGCCTGTATGCGTTGCCTACAAAGATACTAGACTTAACGTGGGACCAAAGCATTAGGATCATGACTGAAAATCACTGAAAAGGAACAGTAGACAAAGAAATTGGCCATCACAGTGGTGATAGTGAGAATTAAGATGTTGAAACAGATCTTAAAATGCTGGCATGCAGTGCACTTAAATGTGAGATTTAGCTAAAGAGAAACACACTGTACCTTTGAACGAAATGTTGGATGAACAAAATAAACAGCCTTCAAATTCCTCTTGTATCTAATGCGAAATAAAAACATGGGTCAGTATGTCATGTTATAGACAATTAACTCTTTGCTAGAACACAGAAATATATTCACAAAGGGGAAAAAAATTTTAAATGGGTCTAGTTTACATATTGAATTTTAAGTGAAATGTCAAAAAATAATTCAGGGGACATTTCATTATTTAAAGTATCCATTTTATAGAAGATATTGTTTCTCTTGGCTGTGACAGAGCCAACTACAGGTAAAACAAAGTAAATTCATATCTAACAAAAAGTTATCATGTGCCTTTTTTTATACTGTACTAGAATATCTGAGATCATATCATGAATTATAAAACTCATGGGTCACTGGTCAAATGAAATAATATTTATAAATGTATTTTGAGAAGAGTAACACACCTTATTAACAGAAGGTAGTGTTTTTGTTATATACAAAGATTGGTAACGACCCCAACCCTTTCGCAAGATGTTTAAAAGCAGCAAAAATTTTACATATGAATTTACTTAAATGCAAAATACACTGAAGTTAAGGAGGGCCTCCTGATATTAAAATATCTGATCTATGTGTGATAAAAATCTTTGTTACATGAAATATCTTTTCACAGAATACACAGCAATGTTTACTACTCATTAATATTAGGAAAGAAAGAAGCTATCTCCCCTCTTCATAATTTGCAAAAATAACTAACTTGACATCAACAACATCGTAGAGTTTCTTCAGGAAGTCAGAGTCCAGGTGATTGTATTCACTGGTCAGTGTGTGAAAATATACTAATACATATTCCTTCACAGCAATGTGATCCATTACATGGATGAAATATAAGAGAGCCTAGAAGGAAAAAAGAAGTAAACGTAAGATCATCTTGCATAAGTAGTCAATTTCGCAGAAGCCAAGAGAGAGGCAAAACTCAGAAGATGAACCTAATTGATGCCCCAGGCACTACAGATGGACATCTCAGACTAATGAGTATCAATTCTCTTTGAAAAAGAGCTTCAGGAAAGTGAACGTAGCCAGTGTTTACCAGTTCTCAGAAATGCTACAGTAGGATCCCTTTCTGCCTTGTTCTAAGGGCTGGAGGAGAACAATCAGTCTCTATGTGCTCAAATAACTCTTCATATACTCAAAAGAGTTCTTCAGTCAATTGCGAGGTTTTCCCTCTCTAGGATAATAATGAATTGTAGAAGTACAATTTCTAGACTTCTGATCATTCTTGAAGTTTCTGCCTGAAACTCAATGAAAATCTTTGCAGTCTCTACTGGGATGCAGACTTATGGCTCTCACGTAACCAAGAATTACTACAGAAGGATATTCTGAGTGATGCCTCCCTCCCATGGCTCACTTGGAGGACTAATTTTCTTGGCCTCTTTAATGTTGAACTGAAATGAGGAAAAGGACAACAGGTTTAGTCAGTAGATGGCAATGAGCCGGGCAGCATTTCTAGAGCTCTGAAAGATTCAAATTTAATGTGACCCAGATCACATTAGAGAAACACTTCATTATAAGAAGGATGAAATTTAAGAGAAACATTAAACATGGAGCAGAGCTCCAATATGGGCAGGGCCAGGGTAACCCAGTGGTGTAGCTATAAACAATGACATAGAGGAAGCTAAGAATTAACCACTGAAAGATTATCAAACAGGCGATTTCCCAATTCTCCTCAGGATAGTCTTTGGCATAATCATGAGTAGACTAAAATGGATAGCATCCAACTGCTACCAGAGCGGACGAAGGAGGAGGGCACTAACAACACACAGGATCCTTCCACTTTGCTGGTTTGGACCTCACAATGTATCTCATTATATTACATGAAATGATACATCATGGATATCCAGAACACCAAGCAAGTGCACGCCAAAATCAAATGCAGAGATTTATGTTTTTATTGGTTATCAATCACATTATTAATGATGAGAATGAATGTTATGTTGGTTGTTAATGACACAAAACAAATGGCTACAAGTAGAAACTTAGTAATGATATAATTTGCATCAGTCGAGCTTTTCCTGTGCATTTGTGTGTGTATATTTTTATTATTATTTCTGCTTTTACCAGACTGCTTTTGGCCCTCTTTCTATCCACTCTCCACCCCCTGCAGGGCAATTAAGATACCCATTTTCAGCTTTAAATTCCCCATCTTTAACTTAAATGTTTTTCATTATAAGGAAGTATAGCCACATGACAGAAAAATGTAGAAAACAAATTCTCCCCAAAACCATGACATCCATTTTGAAATATTTACATTTTGAGTTTTTACCTTTATGCTTAAAACAAAACAAGTTAAAGTCAGGGTATAGGCAATTAATGCACCACTTTTCTATTGATATTACATTATAAATATTTCTCTATAGTACTGTATTTATTTGCCTTTGTAACCATAACCTTTAAGGGTCACAAAATACTCCATCTGTGGATATGCCATAATTAATTGTTAGAACTTTAAGTCATAGTTTTGTGGTACAAACCAGCCCATGGGAGCATGCCAGGTCCAATGCTTCCATAATTTTTTTTTTTTTTTTTTTTTTTTTT